AGTCTGAGGCAGCTGGAATAAGGCGGCAGTCCCTAGGCGCCTCTGTGACTCTTCCTCAGATGCCTTAGCACTGTTACGTTCCTGCTTTAGCTTCATCATGGCTGATCTACTTGTTGATGTTGATGGAGTCACGGGACCATGATCTTGTTTTGGAACCTGGTTTTGACGAATGGGAGTTGCATGAGGCCCCCATCCCCCATTGGAACGAGAGCAAGATTTAGACGAGCAATTTCTGTGCAATGTCCCAGAAGGCTCCACAGTTCTCTGTTACTCAGGGGTGGCCAACCCTTCCAAATGTTGCTGAACCCATCACCGCTGCATGTAAGCCAGGGTTTCCCTAACTTGGGCCTCCTGCTGTTTTTGGACTACAACACCCATCATTCCTTCCCAGCAGGACCAGTGGTCAGGCATAATGGGAATTGTAGTCCAACACTGCTGGAGACCCAGGTTTGGGAAACCCTGGTGTAAGCCATGCTGACTTGGGCTGATGGGAGCTGTAACCCAACGCCTGGAAGGCAATTGGTTCCCCGTCCTGTTTTATGATACTGTTACATGACTAACCTGTGGCCTTCTGGACGCTGCTGAACCACAACTCCCATCTTCCCTTTCTATTGGCCATGTTGACTTGGGGTGATGGAAGTTGTAGTCCTTTAACACTGTAGTCCGCCAACATCTGGAAGACCAAAGACTTGTCTGTTCTGTGCTGTTAAGCATTCAGTGGCAGGTTTAGTATCAGATGTGGTAGCTTCAGCTTTTGGAAACCGGAGCTTACTTTGCCTCAGATACGTGACATAATTTGGAATGTTTCCTAGAGATATATCCATGGACATGGTGGAGAAGGGTGTTTAGGAGAGGAAACTAATGTATTATCAAACTTTCTACACCGTCTCATGCAGCTGATGGAATCGGACTTTGGCCCTCACTTGCTTTCTTCCTGGCCACAATAAAACGTGTTACATGCTGTCATGCTGCTATGTTTTTAGCTATTCTTACTTTTGTCTGTAAGCTGCCTTGAGTTCCCGTCAGGGAAGAAGGTGGTGTATAAATAAACATACAACAAAAACGATACTTTTTGCAGGTTTCAAAAGTGGCAAACGTCACACTGCTAACACTTTTGGGATTTTCCCATGCGGTTGTCCTTATAAATGCGCATGATTGAAACAGGGGCAGAAGTTAAGCCTGGTGGAATTGGAGGGATGCAGCCTGGCCCTTTAAGAACAAAGGGCTGGTGTCTATGTGCTTTACTTCCTTGGAAGCAGTGGAGTCAGGGCGCCACCTGGTGGAGGGGAGCTCCTTGGCACTTGAGACAATGCGGTGTATTGCAGCAGCCCAGTCCAGTTGCTGGTGGAATCGAAAGAGCAATTTGATGCAAGTATGGAGCCCCATGAAGCCTGGTCAATTAGGGTGACTGGCACACTGCCCTGCTCACCTCAAATCATCACCCTGTTGGTCACCTCCTTATTCTTATTTATTTATTTATTAAATTTGTTCATCCCTCGATCTCAGGGCAGTTCACAACACAGTCTCTCGGGTGACGCTGGCTGTCAGCTGCCTCCCCTTTAGCTTTCGGGGGTTCCCTGGTGCAACTCAGCAGGGAGGTTGGTGTGGGGTAGACCTGGGATTAGTCGGCTCCACCTCAGCAGGATAGCTCAGTTGGTTAGAGCGTGGTGCCGACAACACCGAGGTTGCAGGCTCGATTCCCCTAAGGGACAGCTGCATATGCCTGCATCGCAGGGGGATGCACCTTGGGGGTCCCTTCGAGCTCTGTGATTCTATGAAAATAAGCTGTACACATGTTTCTTATTATGAACCTGCTACAGGCTCTGGCTTTGCCTCCTGTTGGGCTCCCTTCCTCCTGCCCTACCAATCCCAGTCACTACTGGATGTAGCACTCTGTCTCTCCTCCACCTGCCTGGTCACTCAATCTGCACGGAATTCCCGGTCACTTGCGGCGAGCAGGCTAGCACTGAATTATAATCACTGAATTATAAGAAGATCATGGGAAGCGGAGCTTCCAGTGGCCTCTGTCTTAAGACCTTGCAAAGGAGCTACCCATTGGGGTAGGTAGTGGCCCATATGGTTGGAGTCCAGCTCTCATTATCCCTGACCACTTATTGGGATCCCAAGTCTAACAATGTAGTCATTTTAGCTTGGTAGAGCACGCAACTCTTAATCTCGGGGCTGTGGGTTGGACTAGATGATCCTGTTGATATTTCTGTTCTACCTTAAGGAGTAGACGTGTGGAATTGTTGCGTGTCACATGTCTGTTTACATTCCAGCACGGCTTGCTGGGAACTTCCCTTGCGTATAGCTTTTCCTTTTCCTTTTCTCTCTGAGATGAGAGAGAGACGACATGTTTCTTTGTCCTGATTTATGATTAATAAATCTGTAGTTGTCGTATGTTTCCACAAGCCTCACGCCTATTCTGTGTGTGCAGTTCGATCTGCTGATAGTGTGCCCTGGCTCAGAAGCCTGGGTCGCTGATTTATGTCGGAGCAGAGGTGATGGTCTTCGCATCGGGACAGCTGGAAGGAGATGGCCCAGCCGGGGCTAGCCAGCTGGCCCCCTGGCCCTCTGCATGCCGACAGATCCTCGTGGTCCCTTCCAACTATACCCTTATGATTCTATGATCTCGGTGGGCCCACAGACCGCTGGCTGCAAGTGATGGACATCGTTGGAAAGCGGCTCATTTTACAGTGTGCAAGAAGGTGAGGGAAAGGGAGGGCAAAATACTTACCTGGACCATGAGGGAAAATCCCATAAGATCATTTCAGAATCCAATCCAAGGCATGGGCTGGAGGTTGGGAAGGAATGTTGTGCCTCTAACAGTAGTTTCCCCAGCGTGCCACTAGAGGGCAGGGCCATGCAGTTTCTGGAATAACACCTGCAAAATTTGCACATGCAATCCTTTTGCTGCATTGGAAGGTGAGGGAAAGGGGAGTGTGTGTTTGTACGTGAGAAAATGCATGTTGAGGAAATTGCCAAATCAGGCAGTTTCTAATTACGTAGCTCCCCCTTCCCCATTTTCTCCTGTGGTGTAACACTCATATTTCCCTGCTACCATTAATAAAGTTGTTAAGGCATTATCTGTCGTCCTCATGCTTATTTGTGAAGTCTCTTGAATATTTCATCTGGTTTATTTGGAGCTGCTTAGGTGTGGAAAGCTTTTCTAAAACCCTCAGTTACAAATAGCTATTTATAACCAAGCAACACACTTTAGCATGTGAAAAAGTCTGTGAAAGTTAGTAGCTCACAGCAAAACATAATGCTTAGAATTGAGCCAATTTTCGGTGTGCTGATTTCAAGGAGGGGAAAAAAAATCCCCTGAGAATCACATCGGCCATAATTTGGGAGGGTTGCAGATCTGTGTGAAAATGTTCTCCTATTCAAAGTGGGGATAGAAAGCATGGCTCGCTCTTCTGATCTGATTTGGTGATGCTGTCATATTGCAAACCCTAACGGATTACATGATTTCTGACTGGGCCACTTAGCAAAGAAGAATTTTTCTTTTAAAAAATGTACACAAAGCAATTACTGAGAGAGGCAGCCGAACGAGTGAAAATGAAATAAATGCAGGACTTTTTTTTTTTAAGGGAGAGCATTCAAGGTTCCTGTAACACCCTATTCTGGCGTTGAAAACGCCCCTGGAAACTTGGCTAGGCTCCAGATATTTACCTGCCTATGCTGAATCAGTGGCCTCAAAGAATCACCTACAATTTCCATAGTTCCCTTCGTGGAGGCATGGTTAAACTGCTCAGGGAATGGGAAACGGGTATCTCCTGACAACTCTTGGCACTCATAACAAACTACAAGTCCCATGATTCTTTGGGGAAAACCATGTCTGCTTAAAAGTGGTATGATAATGCTTTAACTGTAAGATGTGGATGTGGGCTGAGATTCAACTGTCAGCCCACTCCGCTTCTGTCTGAGGAATTCACTATTTTGTCCTTCGCCTCAGGTACCAAATAGTTCCGCGAAGGCCCTGTTCATCACAGATGAGTTAAACACACTACATTTTGCTGTAATTTATTTGTAGATGACATAGGGCACACACGCCAAAAGTTATTAAGAACGTCTTTTACAAATTGATTTATTGGTGCTACGTGATCTGCGCTACCTGCACCAGGGGCCTCCCTCCCAGCTTACATTTTTGGGGGACTTTCACTTTTGCCTCTGCTTTAGTATCGTCAGCACTGACGAGGCCCTAATTTTAGACACAATTAACTACTAGAGCAAAAACTGTGATGGTGACACAAGCACATATAGCCACCTTGCCCCGATTTCCTCGCTCTGAGAACCCCATTGGTCCTTTCTAGAGCAGGGGAGGAGCTGGAGGTGGAGGGCCTCATATCTGGATTAAATTTTCTGTTTTTCAATTTCAAATACTCATTCAAATACTCATACATCCTTAAGATATCAATGGCATCGCTTCTTCTCTTTCCATGGTTCATTTTACATATCTTAAATCCTTGCATATTTTACAAAAACTATACCAATCAGTTTTCCATCATTGCATCCATCAAAACTTATTTGCTTTCCACTGTTGAATTTATCTTAATGCTGCCAGCGTTTTCAGCTGTACACAATTATTTCCCATATATTCAATAAATGTTTTCCAATCTTCTCTAAACACACATTCTTCTTGTTCTCTTATTCTCTATGTTAAGTCTGCAAGTTGTGCATATTCTGTCAACTTAAGTTGACATTCTTCTTTGGTTGGGACCTCACTCGTTTTCCATTTTGAGGCTAACAAAACACAGGCCACAGTTGCTGCATCCATAAATAACCTTTTTTGACACCTGGGGATTTCAGTCTGAATTATCCCCAAAGTACTTTTTTGGGGGAAGTACTTTTAAACATGTTTTCCCAATTCATTATAGATAATTTCCCAATACCCTTTTACATGTCCTCCCCACCACCTGAGGTCTTTGCCTCAGTCTGTTAATAGAAGGGTTGGCCAACTTCTGTAATCCTGCAACACCATGAGCGCCACACTGGGCCCCTGACCTGGGTTTACATTTTAAGGCCGCTAGAAAGAGAGTTGGAGAATTAATGACTGTTGGTCTGTGGCTGCTAAACAGAAACTGTTCTGATGAGGTTTTTCAAGATTGCCCAGACTTCCCAATCCTCGTGTGTTGGCCAAGTGGCGGCACATGTCGCAACAATCCAGTTCCTCAGAAATGACATGTTCCAACCTGGTGCAGTGAACTTGGTCGTATTTGGATATGATAAACGTTCTCGATTCATGGAAGTGAAGGAGTGGCATTGATGACGGGGAGGAAGGGGTGTGGGCCAGATGGCCAGGCCCCTGTGTGGATGGGAGGCAGAAGATAAGGCATGGAGATAGGTTTGGGATAAGCACATAACAGCATATGAACCACAAGGCAACGAGACTGACCTGCAGGGAGATCCATTTGTGTCTCTGCAAAAATCAACCACAACTGGTAAGTGTGGGGGTGGTGCTGATCAGCAATTAAGTCATTTTCAGTAGCATTGGGTGGTTAAGTTTTACTCCTGTTAAGTTTTACTCAGAGCAGACCACTGAAATTAATTTGCATGATTATATTAAGCCTATTAATTTCAATGGGTCTGTTCTGGATAAAACTTAGAAGAAATCACCTTCTTCATTTAATTTAAACTGTAAGTGGGGATAGGCAAACTGGCCAATTACAGTTTCCTATTTCCCCACTCTTAAATTCCGTTCTCCGTATTTCTACAACAGTCTGCAATTAGAAAACCCAGCAGCATTTTAGAATGTTAGCTTCACTAATAAGCGCATTAGTGAATGTACGTACACTTTAGCATATGCATTGTAAAATTAAAATGTGGAAGGGTGATTGGTTTTTGGAATGCATATTGTTTCACAGAGTGTGATTAGTTTTGCCTTCAGATGCAAACGGAATTCAATTTCTCCCTCTTCCCGAAGTCTTAAGTGAACAGGTACCACCTGAGTCTGAAATGGACAGGTGTTGGTAGCTCAACGTCTCTTATTTGAGATAGCAACTGCTAGGAATTTTCTCCATCCCAAGTTCTGTAAGGAGGGTGATGAAAATTAGCTGGGAAACTGGATTTCCCTGTTGGGGGTGCTGTTAGAGGGTGACCCCCTGGGTCATTTCCATGGACCCTCCCTGTTGTAAAATGTAAAAAGTAGAAAGTTTTATTTTGCTTACAGAGTGTCTGGGGGCACTGCAGATAGGCAAGACCTCAGCGATCCGGCATCTTAATTTGCCCAGATGCATCTATGCATCTAAAAGGCCCTTTACAGTGGTGGTTCCTTGGTTGTGGAATGACCCCCCCCCCCTGGTGCAGTGTACCTGTCTCCATAATTACCAACTTTCAGGAGGAATCTAAAAACAGTCCTGTTTACCCAGGCATTTGGTGGCTGAAGAATACTATACTTGGCAACCTCAAGATCATTGATTGGAAGCATGTTTTTAATTGTAACTGCTTTGAGATGTTTTTAACTGCAATTGTTTTTAGAATGTCACCAACTGTTCTAAAATTTTTTTGCATTGTTTTTAAATTGTATATCTGTTTTGCCATCCTGGGCTCCTTGGATTGGAAGAGCAGGATATAATTGCAGTCAATCAATAAATTGGTGCTTGAATGCAAATTTGTATCATTGGCTTACAGACAGAGTCATCTCTGCATCTTTGCAGTGCTCTTCCTTCCCACAATAAAAGACCTAAAGCGCCGGTTTCCCCCTGTTCTTTCCAGCTTTCCCCTTCATCATCTCCTGTTCTGAAGGTTTCAAACACATCCTTGCCCAAGCTTCATTCTATGTTTCTGAAGTCAGCTCCCTGACAAGCCCTCACCTCTGAAGCAAGCCAGGTTTGCTCCTCCTCATCTGAACGTCAAAGCTGCCATGAAGTTTCAGGTGTCCCTTGTGATCTTCATATTCTGCCTTGGCGCAGGTAAGTCTCAGGTGCATCTGGCTGCATGTGCGCATTGTGTGATGTGGGAACTGAGTGGGTTGATCTATTGAGAGCACCTCTTGGGCCAAGCCCTGCTAACTTCAGCCAGGCTTGCATAGAGGACAATTCAGGTGGATGGGGACTAACATGTCTGAAAGATATGCAGCTATGCAATATATTGCAATTAATTCTCTAGCCCTCTAGAAGTGGACTTTTGTGGTACTTAGATTACGGGGGAAGGGGCAGAATAGCTTCACCCCCCTTACCTTATGTGTTGTCTCGCTTAGGCTGAAATCCTATATACATTAAAATGAGAGTATGTCCCATTGAACTCAATAGGACTTCCTGTGTCACCAGCTATAGGTTGTTGTTGTTTAGTCGTTTAGTCGTGTCTGACTCTTCATGACCCCATGGACCAGAGCACGCCAGGCACTCCTGTCTGCCTCCCGCAGTTTGGTCAAACTCATGCTGGTAGCTTCGAGAACACTATCCACCATCTCGTCCTCTGTCGTCCCCTTCTCCTTGTGCCCTCCATCTTTCCCAGCATCAGGGTCTTTTCCAGGGAGTCTTCTCTTCTCATGAGGTGGCCAAAGTATTGGAGCCTCAGCTTCACGATCTGTCCTTCCAGTGAGCACTCAGGGCTGATTTCCTTAAGAATGGAGAGGTTTGATGGGGGTCATAAATATGGCTAAAACTTGTGGGCCGGAGAAAGGGGCCATTGGATTTTATTAAGGGCTCCTCTATTCCAGCTCTCCCCACCCCCCACAAAATTTGAGCTTTCAACATTAGTTTGCAAAAGCCACAGTAAATTTGTTCGACCGCCATATAGCTAACTTTACAATGCAATCATATGCATGTTACTTTTTTCTTTTCCAGAAGCAGCACTCACAGTGCTTACTCTCAGATGGTGCATAAGACTGAAGCTGTCATTGAGCCCAGATCCCACCAAGACCAGAGGGGCGGGGTTGAAACATTAGTCGAAGCAGAAGTGGTGGTTGGTTTGCATTGGACTGGTAGGGCAGAAGGCAAGGAGCCCAACAGTGGGTGGCGCTAGAGCCCAATACAGGAAGAGTCAGAGGCAATGACAGGCAGGGGCAACTAAGCCAGCTTTTGCTCATACCTTTCTTCTTCCTTAGAGGAAATTCTTAGGTGAATTTGAGACTAAGGAGGAAGAAACTGACAAGCAGTTCTTACCCAGAGCCCTGAAACTGTCCTCCCTTCCTCCTTACATCCCATTCCTCCAAATGCCACTTTTAATCCAATTTCACCTGCCTCTTTCCCAGTTCCTCCCTTCGCTTTCCCCCCTGTCCACAGAAGACTACAACTGTCACACACACAGGGACCTTTCTTCCTCTCCAAGTCACTTACTACAGATATGGATCCCCCTATTTTTTCTTCCTGCCCCTCTTCCTTTCCCCCACCTTTAGAAGCTTGGGAGACAGCCCATAAAAGCAGGGTGATGACAGACCGGTGCAGATATAGTATAAAGAGAAATATGTCCGTTCAGATGGCATAAGCTTTTTCTGCGATGAAATCATTTAACTATATGAACAAGCTACTACTAGCTGTTCTTATGACTTAGCATCTCAAAAGCTGGAAGCAGCCTCTCTGGGCCCCTGAGAGGACCTGTGCATCCCCAGCGCAGGTTAACGTAGCATGGAAAAAGCAGACATTATCTTTGTGTCTTTCTCCAGCTGACAGCTTGACATGCCAGAAGTGCTTGAGCAAGAACGGGAAGTGTGCAAAGAACGAAGTGGAGGTTTGCGACCAGTCTCAAGACGCTTGCTTCATTGAGACCAAGGACTACGCTGGTTGTAAGTGCATACCCTCCAACATTCCTCTGATAAAAATAGGGATGTCCCATTCAATAATAATAATAATAATAATAATAATAATAATAATAATAATAATAATAATTTTATTATTTATACCCCACCCACCTGACTGGGTTGCTCCAGCTGCTCTGGGCAGCTTTCAATATATAAACATAATAATAAAAAGTTAAACATTAAAAAAAACCTACCCTAGACAGGGCTGCCTTCTAAAGGTTGTATAGAAGAGTTTGGATTTGATATCCTGCTTTTTCATTACCCTAAGGATTCTCAAAGCGGCTAACATTCTCCTTTCCCTTCCTCCCCCACAACAAACACTCTGTGAGGTAAGTGGGGCTGAGAGACTTCAAAGAAGTGTGACTAGCCCAAGGTCACCCAGCAGCTGCATGTGGAGGAGCGGAGACGCGAACCTGGTTCACCAGATTACGAGTCTACCGCTTTTAACCACCACACCACACTGGCTCTTGGCTTGGGGATTGCATAACCCCATATCCTCCAACATTTCTCCGATGAAAATAAGGACATCCTAAGAGAAAGAGGGACATTTGGGTACCAAATCGGAAACCGGGATGGCTTCTGTAAATCTGGGACCGTCCCAGGAAAATAGGGACAGGTGGACACTTATTCAGACAGTGACAGGAGATCAGAAATGCATTAGCGACCATTTGATTGGGGCTCAGGCCTCTCTATGGACATTCCTCAAAATTTAACAAGAGGCAGCAGCTAGCCAATGTCTGGTGAGGAAATGGGGTTGAGCAAGATGCTCTGCATTGCTCCAGGATCATTGAGCAGCAGGCCTCTGAGCATCTGTCATGGAAGGCTATAGAGCAGCAGTAGGGAATCTCAGCCTCAGGGGGTGAATGTGAGTCTCCAACTCTCTCTGTTTGGCTCTTGCAACTGTTCACAGGCTGCAGCCCTTCCAGACTATGCTTGAGTGTGTCTGCCTTGCTGGAATGTGTCCTTAGACCCTGATAATGCTTCCCCGGGTGGAGGACAACGAAGGGTGTGTGAATGCATGCAGAAACTTGCCTACTGTACAAAGCGGAAATTTGCCTTTGCTTCTCCACTCACTTTTGCCTCTTGCCCGATCCACCGCTGGCATGTGAGCTGTGGAAGGTTACCGAGAATGTGGTCCTCTGGCTGAAACAGCTTAGTCCCATAATTCAAGCATTTTCCGTAATTTAAATACTTGCTATAACGTAAAAAAATCCCTGTACTTTAATTAAAGTACATCTCACCACAGAGGTGAAAACTGACCAGGGGACCTGTGCGTCTGCCAGTCTGCTCACCAGCAGTGGGGAATTTCAAGGCCCCACTTCTTCTTCTTCTTTGAGTTTATTTACAAAATTATTTACACTGGACCTGGACCAGACATAACATCCTTTGCAAATCTAAAATGACACTTGCAATAGCACCCTACGCTGGCAATGGGTTAACTCCTTTGTTTGATCTTCTGTTTGCAGTGGATGCAGGAACGGTGAAACTGGGCTGCAGCGACTCGAATTTGTGCCGCCGCTATCAGAAAGGGAACAGGGGATCTTTAAGCTGGTCGATGTTTTGTTGCTCCTTCGATCTATGCCAGCCTCTGACACGTGATGGTATGTGGTACAGAAATGGTGCATGCCCATGTTGATGTGATCTGAATTTAGCCGTTGGGGGCAGTGATAAACACTTTCATGAAAACATCACCTCAGTGCTTTGTCAGTAATTAATAATAATAATAATAATAATAATAATCCTTTTCAACTGATGAATGAATGAATTTATTATTTCAGTCACAGACCAGTTCCAGCCCACATACAATATCAAGGAAGTCATAAAACATGATAGGGATACATTTGAATTTGCAACTAGGTATAACAGGGACAATACAGATATATGTATGTATATGTATGTATATATATATATATATATATATATATATATATATATATATACTTAGTCACCTATCCAACTAATTAGTCCCGCTAGTGGAAGTCCATGCAAGGACTTCTGCTAGCAGAGTGGGGCTTCCCTTCCCTTCCCTTCCCTTGGTGTGCTCCGTGAAATTGGCTTGCAATCTGTGGGGGGCACAATAGTATTCAGGGGCAGGAGAGGGAATAATGTTCTGTCAGAGCAAGCTGGAATATTTGTGCTGATGGAACGTTTTCCTTAATGAATTCCTAAAAATAAAACAACTTCTTCTTCTTCTTCTTCTTCTTCTTCTTCTTCTTCTTCTTCTTCTTCTTCTTCTTCTTCTTCTTCTTCTTCTTCTTCTTCTTCTTCATGTTCTCCTCTTTGCACAAGTGTCTCAAAGTGACAGAGCAAAGCAAGCTATACAGAACATGAAAAACAAAACAATTGAAAGCCAAAACCTATTGCGTTGCATCCAAAGCCAGTCCTACTCTGAGTAGACATGCTGAAATCAACGGAGAACTTGCAACCCAACCCCTCCATCCCCCTAATGTAGGTCTGGCCACCACAGAACAGCTCCCCAAGGAAAAAGAAACCAATCACCAACTGCTGCAAAGAAAAAGGTTAACACTGAAAAGTTATCAGTGTCGGTGCCCGGCAAGCCTTCATGGGGATAGTATTCCACATACTACAGAAAAGGCCCATTTTTCTCATCCTCATACATCATCTGCCAGAGGGAACACACAGAGAAGGGCCTCCAATTAGGGGATGTGACAGAGCCGGCCTGCCCATGAGGTCGGGTGAAGTGTCTGCCTCAGGTGGCAGAAGTGCAAGAGGCAGCATTCTGCCTGCACCACCTCTTCTGCTGCCAAGAGGGAGGTGTTACAGCGCACAGTGTTGCTGCTTATCTTTCCTAGGTGGAATGCTTTGAGGAGCACCCTGGCTCCTGTTGAGTTTGGTGACAGCCAGGGTATTCCTGCATGCCATGTTGCTGATCAGGTGACCCCTCCCTGGGGTGGGGAGAGCTGAATGGCAATGCTCTGAGGAGTGCTCTGGCTTTTGCCAAGTTTGCTGAGAGCTGGGAGGAGGCGGCAGAAATGGTGGGCATGTGGGGGAGAGGGGGGCAGTAGGTGGCAATTTCCATTTTGCCTCAGGTGGCGAAATGGGCTGGAATCTGATGATCTCTGTCTCTCCCCCTGCTGCTCACTGTTGCTTCCAACAGTTCATGGAAATGGATCCAAAAAATGGTGTGCAGTGTCAAACCTGCATCGGGAGCGCAGCTGAATGTGGCCACAATGCGCCCACAGAGCCATGTTATGGGAGTGAAGACCAGTGTGTGCAGATCTCCCAGCGCCTCCTGCCAGGTATTGCCAAGTGGGTACCAAAGCATTCAAAGCGCACAGGCACAGGGATAGGAGAGACTAAGGCATTGCTAAGGATGTGATGGTCACTAGCCAATAGGTGCAGGGAAAACTCTGCAACCACAACCTGTTGCGTAATCACCATTGCAAATGATGCACATGGTGTTGGAAAAACATGTTTCAAGGTTTTCTGAGTTGCTCTCCTATGTTTTTAAGACTGTGTGTGTTTTGCAATAAAATGCAATTGCAGAGCTGGTCTTTCTAGGCTGGACAGGCAAAGCACTACAAAAACCTTTCGAGGTAACTGTTCCTTTAATTAAATGCTTTCTGTTTTTTTGTTCTCACCATTTTACTTCTTCCTGCTGGATTCATGATAAATTGCCCCTTGTTAGAGGGCTTCTGTTTCCTGCTTGGTGTGTCAGTAGTTTAATTACCAATTCATTTGCATATTTTTATACTCCTTTTATAGTGAAAGAGAGCTATTTAGCCATAAAAGAAAGGAAAGAAAAAACAGGAAGCAAATAATTTGTACTCTCCTCTGCTACAGTGAGGAACGGAAACTGACAAATATGGGGGAATTAAGGGGCAATGCACCACCAACCCATATCCGTGCAATGAAATGAGTGGAGCCAGCTAACTGGAAACTTCAAATTACAAGAGACCATTGCTGAAAGGGGCTTACTTTTGAGTAGACATAGATGGATCTTGGCCATTGGCATTGCTGGATAATATAGAACTATATCAAGTTCTGTGTGAAATCTGTTTTTATGCTGTACTTTTGTACTGTTTTATTGTTGTTAGCCGCCCTGAGCCCGGCTTCGGCTGGGGAGGGCGGGATATAAATAAAATTTATTATTATTATTTATTATTATTGCACTTCCAGCTAATTGCAAAAAAGGAACAGTGCCTCAGTGCAGTGGATACTGTGGAAGCTGTTCCACGGAACAGCAAAATAACACCCACCATGCAAATTTAAACATACGCAGTATATGGAGAAGCTGTAATATATATTTAGTGAGATAATAGATGGAGTTAAAAGTGGAGTGTCCATTGGAAAACAATCTACTAGCTGCATTTCTTAAATCCAAAAATGGTCCTGTTCTGTGTGGACATCACCTGACGATTGCTTCTCCAGGTGAAGAAACAGAACCCATCATAAAGGGATGTGGAGGCAGTTCCTTTAAGGACACACTGGTGGCGTACCAGATCGGGAGAGATTTTGCCTTTGTTGAGCAAAAGGTCTGCAGCAGTTCCAACTGCAACAACAGGAGCTTCCCAGGTAAATGACAGTTGCTGTGCTCTGATAACCTTCTGTCCACCACACTCCTGGCAGAAAATTCCACTGTCTGACAGTAAGAGCTGTTCGACAGTGGAATTTGCTGCCAAGGAGTGTGGTGGAGTCTCCTTCTTTGGAGGTCTTTAAGCAGAGGCTTGACAACCATATGTCAGGAGTGCTCTGATGGTGTTTCCTGCTTGGCAGGGGGTTGGACTCGATGGCCCTTGTGGTCTCTTCCAACTCTATGATTCTATGATTCTATGATTCTATGATTCTAGGTAGGTACCGCCTGGGTGTAGGATCCTGCCTGTATGCCAAATAATAACAATCTAGGACACAGTCTGCAGGAAAGTCCCCCAGCACAAGCCCCATGGCAATGAACAGGAGAGTTGCAGGAGAGTTGTCGTGCCTCTTCCAAATTAATATTTTGAAAAATAGGAAATCCACGGAATGTTTAATTTAGGTAAAAATTGTACTCATTTTTCAGAAGATAGAGGTGCTGTCTTGTGCCCAAGATTGAGGGGGTCCAGCACATATCACACACTGGTGCGCATTGCATGCACTATTCTGTAAGGGATGCTTTAGATGAGATTCCTGCATTGCAGGGGGTTGGGCTAGATGACCCATGGTGTCCTTTCCAACTCTACGGTTCTGTGACTTCATGTGTATGATGTTGCATCATCGGGGGGGGGGGGGGTTGAGTGTTGAGCCCAGCGCAAAGGAGGGGGCCAGCAGAACCCCGCTGGTGCAGCATTACATAAAACCCATCATTTCTGTAAGTCGCCTTGAGGCACTTTGGAGAAAGGTTATTTAAGAAATTGAATAGATCATCACTAAAGTCCCCCCCCCTTTTTACTCTACAGTCATAACTTCCGGACAGCCCAATGGGCTGCAATGCTATACCTGCCAGGAGTCCGGGCATGGGGAGTGCGCTCAGGAAAGACTGCAAGTTTTAAATTGCACAGGAGTCATGGATCAGTGTGTACGCGTCATCGACAGAGGTAAGAAAGCGGCAAGGGTGCGTATACAGAGGACTGGGAAGCATGCCATCATGGTTGCCATCAATTTGATTTGAATTAATTTTACAATGAAATGGTTTTAGAATGTTGTATTATTTTATTGTTGTTAGCCGCCCTGAGCCCGCTGGGGAGGGCGGGATATAAATAAAATTTATTATTATTATTATTATTATTATTATTATGCCTGTTGGCCTGATCAGATGCTAAAAAAGGGGCAGCTCCTTATCTCAAAGAGTTAGAGAGAAGCATGGATCAGAAAAACTGCTGCTACAGGAATCCATCCTTTGGGATACACTGCTTGGGGGCCATGTGAAATTACCTTAAACAAGGAGAGTCTCCATACACAGAGGAGGTTATTTTTTACATCTCTGTTCTGGCTCTGATCCCTCCCAATCAGTATCTACAGTGGTACCTCGGTTTTTGATCGTCTTGGAAGCTGAACGTTTTGGTTTTGAACGCCGAAAACCCAAAAACCCAGAAGTAAATGCTTCCGTTTTCGAACATGCCTTGGAAGTCGAACGGCTTCTGCTGAGCTTTTTTCTCCATTGAATTTGCAGAATGCCCTTTGTGCCTCGGTTTTCAAACGCTTTGAAAGTCAAACAGTCTTCCGGAATGGATTACGTTCGAAAACCGAGGTAACACTGTGCCAGGAGCAATTAATTCTGCAACACCTCTCCCTCAGGTAGGAAATAATTCCTGACAGAGAGGATGCAGCCAAGTGACCTGTTCTCAGGGGAGGTGCCCCGTCTCTTCTCTGTGTGAGTCACTGTTCTTGGTGTCCCTTCTTTTATCCACATCTGAACTCGGTTATTCATGCAGAGACACAAGGAGCTGGGTTCCTTTGAGGACAGGAGATTCTTGCTTTTGTACCATCCACGCCATGGATTTAAAAGTGGTTTTAACAACCAACCCTTTTACTCGGGCCACTCTGGGAATTGTAGTCCTGTCAGGTTGATTGGAGGGGGTCTCCTAACAATTCTCAGTACCCTTAACAAACTACAGTTCCCTGGATTCTCGGCGGGCGAGGGGGAAACCTTGACAGTTAAAGTGTTATAAAGGTGTGGGTAAACAAACATTCTGCAGTCTTCCTTTTTGGATGGATTAGGTGTGCCTCTCCAACATCAGACGTGTAGAAAGCACCAAAGAAAAGGGTTTAGGTCGCCCTGATCCCAGATAAGCCTGCCACAGTGAAGCATGCAGATTCTGATCAATTTCACGGCCTCTGAAAACATTATTTTAATTACACCTCCGTATTGATTTGTGCTCCTGATGCTATCAAGGTGTTTGCACACGCTATCCCGGTTTCAAAAGATTGAGCATTGCATCTGTTTTGGGGAAACCACACTGCTTCACTTCCAATGAGTGCCTATCTCCGTAACTATTTATGCCACAAACGTTCAGGTTTATTTTTGTCCTGCTTTGGTTGAGTTTTAAAGCCCCTCCGGACAGCAAGGATGTGGCAGCATTGGGGAGGCATCACAGAGCAAATCCACCACAGATGCACCATCCTTGTGTTGAGAACATGTTGCAGAATACACCTGCAATAAAACGTCGTTTCTTGGAGGGCCCCTCAATTTCTCACTCATTCTTTACTTGTAGGAAATGTCTTAGTATAAGAGGACCATTTCGCCCTCTAGTGTCCATAGGTGGAATGTGATGCAGGTTTTACGCTGCTCTAAAAATCTCCAATTTAGGAGTGGGGAGCCACCAGGTACAGTCGTACCTTGGTTTTCAAACAGCTTAGTTCCTGAATGTTTTGGCTCCCGAACGTTGCAAACCCGGAAGTGACCGTTCTGGTTTGTGAACTATTTTTGGCAGCGCTTTTTTTTCTAAAAAAATGTTTAGGGGTACTCTCTTTTTCCTTGGCCACCTCATGAGAAGAGAAGACTCCCTGGAGAAGACACTGATGCTGGGAAAGATGGAGGGCACAAGGAGAAGGGGGCGACAGAGGATGAGATGGTTGGATAGCGTTTTTGAGGTTACCAGCATGAGTTTGACCAAACTGCGGGAGGTAGTGGAGGACAGAGGTGCCTGGCGTGCTCTGGTCCATGGGGTCACGAAGAGTCGGACACGACTAAACGACTAAACAACAACAACAACAAACTTTTTCCTACTCATATTGAAATACTTCTTAAATTATAGACATTAGAAGAATTTATCATGATCTGATGTAACATATATTACTAATTTTACTTTTTGGATGAATTTTTGTTTGTTATTTCTTTTTAATTTCAATAAAGCATTTAAGAAAGAAAGAAAGAAAGAAAGACTGCCCCTCAATGAGGCCAAAGTTAGATTCACAAAATGTTTAGGGGGATGCATCCCCCCGCATCCCCCCAGAAAAAAGCACTGATTTTTGGAAGCCAAACATCCGCTGGGGCTTCCGAGGCTTCCGATTGGCTGCAGAAGATTCAGAAGCTGCACTTTGGTTTTCGAACGTTTTGGAATTCGAACGGACTTCCGGAACGGATTCCGTTCGACTTCCAAGTTACGACTGTATCTCTATTTGGCCATCATAGAATTGTAGAGTTGGAAGGGACCACAAGGGTCATTTAGTCCAACCCCGCCACAATGCAGAAATCTTTCTCCTTGTGGGACTCAAACCCACAACCCTGAGGTTAAGAGTTCATGCTCTACAGAACTCTCCATAGGCCACGTCTCTCTCTTTTTTTGCCTGTCCTTGAACTTCGATAATGGAGAGGGTTGTTTAAGTGTGGGTAGAAACTAGCCCATCCTACAAGGCGAAGCTTCCATTAGTTTCCCCGCCCACTTCCCCTCTGGCTCCACCCACTGCTGCCATGCGGCCCTCAGAAGATTGCCCAGAAGGGAATATGGCCCTCAGAAAATCCAAAAAACCTGTCTTCCTTCTTTTCCAGAGAACAGAACTGTGACCTTTCAGAAAGGCTGTGCCACTGAGACCATGTGCAGCAGCTACGAGGATATCTATTCCAAACTGATGGGGCCGGATTCCTTTGTTGAGTGTTGCAAAACGTCCTTCTGCAACCAAGCTGGAGAGCATTCTGGTCCACAGATGCTACTGATGGTGGCTGCTTCTGCCTGGTGGCTGGCATGGATGGCTTGACCATAATGGCGGCTGTCTGGGTGAGCCTTCAAGAAAGGATCTGGCCAGTCTTTGAAGGTTGGTTGCATACATGGGAATGGGTGCTAGCCAGCTATGGGGGCTCCTTTATCTGCCTGGAAGGAGGTGGCACTGAAGCACTGCTCCCCTACTGTCTATATGCCATGCCAAGACTGGATTACTGCAATGTGCAGCATGCGAGGCTTTCCTTGTCCTTGATCCGGAAGCTGCAGTTAGTGCAGAATGCTGCGGCAAAAGACGTAAGACCCCGGTTAACAGAGGACACCTTTGTCCAGAGGCCTGTAGTGGTTACCAATTTGCTGCTGGGCCAAGTTCAAAGAGTTACTATTGGTATATAAAGCCCTTAACAACTCGGGACCAGTTTACCTGCAAACCGTCTTACCCCACATATTGTATGCCTGCTTGACTGCTTTGATTACAGATGCCACAAAATATTCGTAAGAAATTGACCTTTTCCTATGGCAGCATCCCTGCCTATTGACATCAGCCAGCAGCCTTCATTGTACTATTTTCAGTGCCTGTTAAGACCCTGTTTGCTTAGACAAGGCTACCCAGATATGTAGAATGTCAAAGCATGTTTTAATCTTTTTTTTAGCTCATTGTTGATTTTAAATTTTTTTGGAATATTTTAAATAGCTGTTTTTACTGCTAATTTTGTTGTTTTATTATCATTTTTACAATCAAGTGGTATGGAAATTTTATGAACTAAATAAACAATAAACAAAACACACAATGTCGAAATAGGGTGCTTTTGGAGGGGCGGTTCCCACACCTACAGTTCACATGCAATGCCCTTTCTTGGCTAGAGTGGACATTTGATTTTTAAGCGTCTCATTTTCTCACTGCCTGCATGACGGACATCCATGCAGGCTCAAAACACAAGTCTCAAATGTGGCTGTGTTGAGGGACACCTCAACAAAAACCAAAGCCTGTAGGCTGGGAAGACAAAATATTACCTTTTCCAGGTTCACAATCATTCTCATGATTTCTGTTGGATGCTTCCACACTATCCAGTGGTTCCTCGGGTTAAGTACTTAATTCATTCCAGAGGTCCGTTCTTAACCTGAAGCTGTTCTTAACCTGAAGCACCACTTTAGCTAATGGGGCCTCCTGCTGCTGCCGCACCACCGCTTCACGATTTCTGTTCTCATCCTGAAGCAAAGTTCTTAACCCGAGGTACTATTTCTGGGTTAGCGGAGTCTGTAACCTGAAGCGTCTGTAACCTGAAGCGTCTGTAACCCGAGGTACCACTGTATTTCTATTGGATGCTTCTACACTATGGAAAGGACGGTTTGCTTAACTCCAGATTATTAGAAATCTGGAAAGCTGCTATTCCACAGGCCAAAAACAGAACAGCAGTGATTGTGTCATCCACATCTAGAAGCACCGGCTGCTCAATATTGCCAACAATTAAGAGATTTAGATCCTGATTAAAAAAAACAAACCCTTCAAGTTGTCAGAGAGGGCCATTCTGAGTGCAGCGTTGCTTGCCATCAAGTCCAGTTTTTGGAGAGGCTTCAACCATTCCCCCGCTCCAAGAACTGAAGGCCACTTGAAAGAAGGATCACTGGTGGCAGTGTGTACTTTTGCCTCTTATTAAACGGGTTGCGTTAGTTTTTAATTTTGCAGCTCCAAAACCCTGCAAAACCAGTTTCGCCAGAGTGACAGCGAGCCTAAGGAATTATGCATATATATTATGGCAAGCGAAACTTGACGGAGACGCCAGCCCAAGAAATTAGTTCTGCAAGTGTTTCTGTGTATGAGGTAAGGATATAAGTGTGTGTGTGTGTGTGCACGCACACACAGAGAGAGACAGGGGTGTGTGTAGAACATGAGAGGTTGCTTATGCCAAGAGACAAACCATTGACCCATCTAACTCAGTGTTTTCTATGGCTCTGACTGGCAGCAGTTATCTAGGGCTTCAGGTAAGTGACTTTTCCAGCTCCACCTGGAGATGCCAGGAATTGAATTTTGTATGCAAAGTGGATGCTCAGTCACTGAGCTGCAGCCCTTAAATTTCTTAAACATGTGCGTGTGTGTGCATGCACGCGCACACACACACAGAGGTCTGCACCATCCCTACTAACATTTGGCAATGGAAAATAATTACGACTTGTTTGTGTTATGTTAGCAAGCCAGGAGAAGGATGTGTTCCCATGGGATCCAATGCCAGCTTTTGCCAAAGACCTTCGGAAGCATTAATTTCAAAATAGGCTCACCTACAGCTACAAACGCACAGCTCCCTCCTGTTTAGCATCTGCATTCCATGCAGAAGGTCTCAGGTTCAACCCTTGCCATTTCTCGGGAGGCCTGGGAGAGAATCTTGTCTGAGATCCCGGACAGCTGCTGCAGAATCACCAAGTTACAGAACTGCAGATTTGGAAGGGACCATGAGGGTCATCTGGTCCAACCGCCTGCAATGCAGGAATCTTTTGCCCAACATGGGGCTTGAACCCACGACACTGTGATTAAGAGTCTCATGCTCTACTGGCTGAGCTATTCCAACATACTAAGCTAGATGGATCAGGAACTTGACTCAATATAAAGCAGCTTCCTATACAGTCATACCTCAGGTTACAGACGCTTCAGTTTGCGTTTTTTTGGGTTGCGGACTGCCGAAACCTGGAAGTACTGGAGTGGGTTACTTACGGGTTTCGGCGGTCGCACATGCGCAGAAGTGCTAAATTGCACTTTGCACATGTGCAGACGCGCCAAATTGCAACCCGCTTTTGTGCAAATGCACCGCTGCGAGTTGCAAATGTGCATCCCGCACAGATCACGTTTGCAACCTGAGCGTCCACTGTATTCCTATTTTATTAAATGATGTCTCTCTCCCCCACTCCCACCCAAAGGGCGTGTTTTTGGATTTTCAAAACCCAAAGCACACAAGGACTCTCCTAAATCTCTGGCGGAGCTTTTTCACTGCCTTGTCTCTTGGGATCCTTTCTAGCTGGCTGGGAGAGAAGAATGATGGTGGGGAGAGAGACCCAAGGGCCAGAAAGAGAGACATGGCAGGTTGCATTCCACACACACCCTGGGCGTGAGGTTCTCCACCCCAGCAATAGGACATAGAGTTCTGCTGGACCAAACCAAAGGCCCATCTAACCTCACAGCGGCCAACCAGATGCATATGGGAAGCTGAGAAGCTGGGCCTGAGCACAACTGCAATCTCCGCACCCGTGCATCTCAGAAGCTGGCGTTCAGAGGCATACTGTGGGTGTAGAACAGTCACCTTGGCTAGCAGCCATTCTTAAAAGGGCGAGAGAAGTCGATTGGGAGGTCCTGTGTAACAAACCCGCTTTGGGTTGTGCAAGAAGGAAAGTGATGGGAAGATGTGCTGGAAAGTGACTGACACTTCCTGTGATGCAAGGGCATCTCACCTCCACACAGAAAGGATGCTCGTTAAGGAGCCAACACAGTCTCCAACCTCCCGCAAACAAATCAGGGTGGATGATCGACAAGCAACTTCTCTGGAAGCACCCGGCATCTAACCACGGCGTAGTCTTTGCACAAGCAAGTCAGGAGGAGCCTTAATGCATCGTCTCCCACCCTCTGGAAGCTGCTCCTTCGCTTACGGATGTGAATTAAAACCATCAGGACTGAGCTGCAGCCAAACAGCATGTTTCATAAAAAGGCCGTACCCTCCCGTGATGCAAGGTAATTAGGATAATAATGAGGCACAGCAACCTGCTGGCTTTGGGGAGGGCCCTCGTGGACTCTGGAAGATGAAAAATGACTGTGGGAACCGTGCCGAGAGCTTGGAATCGGAGCAGTGTTTTCTGGCAAAGCAGAGCAGAGTTGGCTCCGGAACAGTCGTTGGCATCTGCTTATTTTTAGGGCGGTTTCAGCCCTTCCTCCTCAAAGGAGGAAGGAATGCAGGGAAAGTGGGAAACTGAGTCACTCCTGAAGAGAAGAGGGTGGTATCTCCAGCCAGAAAGCCTTGCATCTCAAAGCAGAGTCCAAGGTAAGAGGGAGACCTTGGATAGGGAGGAACCTAGGGCGCTGCTTCCCCCAAAGAATTGTGGGAGCTGTAGTTTGTTAAGGGTTCCGAGAGCTGCTAGGAGGCCCTCTATTCCTCTCGCAGAGCTACAATTCCCAGAGTCCTCTGTGAAGATGGATTGTTAAACCACTCTGGGTATGGTCTCTTTGGGAGGGGAGCAGCTCTCAGTACCCTTAACTGACAACGGCTCCCAGAATGCTTTGAGGGAAGCCATGGTTATTTAAAGCTGTATCAAAGTACTTTAAATGTATGGTGTGAATGTGGCCCTTGTTTGCCCTTAACAAGGAACTATTGACAAGCTTATGAGGACCCCCCACCCCCAGTTCTGAGGAACAGACACAGAAAACTCTAAAGCATCAGGCTTCAAAGCCAAGATCTACCCATCAACCTGCAATATATCAACTGTTTTAAATATTGTTATTCCATGTGCTGTTTTGGGCTTAACCGATCACCTCCAACTTCCTTTCTCTCTGGGTGCTTCCAGATAGGTATCTCTCATGGGTGCTCCTCATGTGTGCAACAATTTTTTAAAAATAGCATCTGCAGGGCATTGTTGGCAATTTAATCTGAATTTACCCTTTCCAGGAGAAATCAAGCAAGGGACCCTTGAGGCTGGCATTTTACTGTGGATGCATTCTGCAACACAGTCTTGACACAACAATAGTGCATTTGTGGTGAATTTATTATTGCTGCCCAGAAGGGCTATGGCACAACAAAAAGCAGAAGGAAAGCAAACCAGAACATTTGTGGTGTAAAAAGTTACGGAATTTCACTAGGAAGTTGCGGGATAGGCACTGCTTAGAAAGGAAGCAGTGTGATCACCCCAAAACCTTTGCGGGCACAACCAGTGTTGAAAGCACGATTGCGTATGACAACTGATAGCAGCACGAGTGCAAATTGTCATGCATGTGCATGGATCTCCTGGGGCCCTCAGTTAAAAACAAACAAATTGTTGTCAACATCCCCCTTGCAATATGTGAATGGCCCTTTTACTGTAAATTGTCTTAAGCCATTTTTAATTTTGCATGTTAAATTGTTGCAAATCATCATCATCCCCTGCCTGGAAGTGAACTCTGGGCTCATCCAGACTTCTGCCTGTTGTGTCGCATCCCCCCCCCCCGGGAAAAACCACCCTTTACTGCTTGATATTTGCTCTGATTCTGTGCTAAAGAGAGGGCTTTCTCGGGAAAGCAGCAGGGCAAACAGAAAACTGCTCAGATCCATGCCTATAAAGCACAGGACAATTGGAGAACTGCTTGGACCCAAGCTTTCGAGCCATGGGACAAGCAGGAGTGTGGGTGCGCCCTTAGTCAGCTTTCTCTCTGCATACGACATGGCTCTGCGGCTTCCGATTGGTTGCAGAAGCTTCCTGAAGCCAACTGGAAGCCGCGCCTTGGTTTCCGAATGTTTTGGAAGTCGAACAGACTTCCGGAACAGATTCCATTCGACTTCTGAGGTACCACTGTATTGTGATGACCCATCTTCAGTCAGATTGCAGTTCATTTGCCTGTGCAACCCCTCAACTGAATAATTATAATTATAATAATTTATTATTTCTACCCCGCCCATCTGGGGTTATAACAAATGTTATAAAGGTTTTTTTTTGGGTGGGGAGAAGTAGGGGAAAAATCCTCCAGGAAGAGTACAGTAGTACCTCAGGTTACAAAAACCTTGGGATACAAACACTTCAGGTTATAGATTCCGCTAACCCGGAATTAGTACCTCGGTTTAAGAACTTTACCACAGGATGAGAACAGAAATTGCATGGCGGCGGTGCGGCTGCAGCAGGAGGCCCCATTAGCTAAAGTGGTACCTCAGGTTAAGAACAGTTTCAGGTTAAGAATGGACCTCTGGAACGAAGTAAATGCGTAACCAGAGGTACCACTGTATATCGAAAGCCTTGCCTTTTCTGGCCAAACTAGAGACACTGCAGGAAATTGCAACCTGCTACAGCTGAAGATGGTCCTGCCAACCAGACAGACCAGCCACTGGCGTGAAATCTGCAGAAATGAACTAGAAATTAATCTCCCTGGATCCGAGTCTGGAACTAACCCAGCTGCGCCACTGCTTTCCAAGCCATTTATTTGGTTTTCCGCCTGCTTATTCCCCTTCCCTCCCTCCCAACCTTCTGAGATGAGTTGAGAGAGGCAGCTGCTACAAAAACGGGAAATACAAAACGTGACGTTAAAAGCCCTTTTCACACTCAAGGGGGTGGCTCAGGGGCCATGAGAGATGGCCTGGTTTTTCCATTATATAATCTTATTAAAGCTCCCGGAGCAAGTAATCCCGAGTGGCTGCGCCGGACGTGGGTGGAAAGTTAAAGAAGCAAACAGCTTGCCCTCTTGCGGGCTGCGTCCTTTTGAGTTGTTGTGGGAGGGTTGGCGAAGTTCAGTGAAACCTGGCAGGGCTAAGAAGGAGGGCCTTGTGGGTAGGAAGACTTCCAGAAGTCCTGCTCCCATTACGTTCCCAAAGAAAGACACACCTTGGTGACGCAGGTGGGGCACTGCCAGACCTGGGATAGAGGGATTGCATTTTCATGGCAGCTGATCTACAGGAGTTTTGCATTTTGGATGGGGGCAGATGGGTGAAGAAGGCATTTGTGGTTCAGTTCAGGGCTATGAGCAAAGAGGCTGCCAGGAGGACGAAGAGGATGCCCTCGCCTCTCCTTCCACCCTGGCCTGGCGCTCCGTTGCAGAAGGGGCCCTGGCAGCAGGTCACGTAGCTGACGGGAAGCTTGGGCAGCAGTGTTCCATAGAAGACCGTATCCTGGCAGAGCTGCTGGTTGGCGCAGCCAGCTCGGAGGGTAGCACCGCGGACGTAATCTGCATTGGAAGAGAGGAGAGGAGGGAAGGGAGTTGCATATCTTCCCAGGACAAGGGATCAGATCATATGAGTAGGGATAGGAGCGTTGGTCAATTTCATTTCTCTCTGTTACTCATTTCCCCAATCTTAAATTCAGTTCTTCACATTTCTGCTGCAAACACACACACACACACACACACACACTCACACACAGAAATTCACCAGCATTTCAGGGCAAATTTCTCCTAACAAAGACATCATTTTGACTAATGTGACACATTTTGGGCAAGCGATTCCCTACAATCTAATGCATTTTTGTATCCAATGCATTTTATAGCTTCATTTTGATGCACACTCTCTCCCCAATATATGTATTCTTATGAACATTGCTTGATTGGAGAACTGCATTGAAAAATTCAGACAAGTGTGAATTTTGTAGGATCGCTGTGTTTCAGTTTGTGTATTGTTTCAGAAAGTGTGAATTTGACTGATTCGGTTTTAAATGCATCCTGAATCAAATTTCTCATCCATCCTTCATCTGAATCCTAATCATTGCATTCCTTGTGTTTGGGGCAAATCAACCTACTCATAGTTTTCTGTAACCAGAAGCTGGAAGGGCCAGGATGCGACAGGATTGTGAGGAAGAGCCGTACCTCATCTGCTTTGCATGCAGAAGGTCTCAGGTTCAGTCTCTGACATTTTCAGGTAGACCTGGGAATGTCTCCAGGCTGCCCTATGGGCTCTCCTAGGCTCTGCACTTGCCTGGCATGATTCAGAATGGGCCCTTTTCCCCGCTGTGAAAGTTTTTGACTCCCACATCCCCCACTGGATAAGGTTGATTTGTCTCCCCGATTGCTCCTGATGTAGATCTTCACTCACACTTTCTTCCCTGGGCAGGGCGTGGGGGGTACCATTTTGTGGTTTGCTTCAGGTGCCAAAATGTCTTGGGCCGGCCCTGGCTGTAGGATCATCAACATCATCATAATTTATTATTTATACCCTGCCCATCTGGCTGGGTTTCCCCAGCCGCTCTGGGTGGCTTCCAACAGAATATTAAAAACACAATAAAACATCAAACATTAAAAACTTCCCACCACAGGGCTGCCTTCAGATGTCTTCTAAAAGTCAGATAGTTGTTTATTTCCTTGACATCTGATGGGAGGGCATTCCACAGGGTGGGTGACACTACCGAGAAGGCCCTCTGCCTGGTTCCCTGTAACCTCACTTCTCACAGTGAGGGGACTGCCAGAAGGCCCTTGGCACTGGACCTCAGTGTCCAGGCAGAATGATGGGGGTGGAGACACTCCTTCAGGTATACTGGGCCAAAGCCGTTTATTATCATGCTGTATATTAATTGGTGTGCATGTAAGCTTTGTGTTCTTAAACCATTTGGGCTTTCCAGTGCTGCAAGTAAGCCATCTGTAGGCCTTAGGAACAGGAACTGACCTTGGCTAGTACCGTGACTGGTACATGTGAGTTTGACCTAAGAAGGTATTTTAGGATCACAACAAAGAGGAAACCAGCCTGGCCCAATCCACTGGTGAGTGAAGGCACACCTGCTCTGGTGCTTGCTTTCCTTTACCCTCCCCATTCCCTTTTCCTTTCGTATCATGCCTATCAGATTGTGTGCCTGTGGGCAGGGACAGCCCTATCTTTTAGTATAGGTACAACACTTAGAAAATGTTAGGCACTTTAGAATGGTAAGATAATAATCATTACTACCACCTGAGGAGGCACTGCCTATTCAAAAGCCTCCACCCACCTTTTGCCATAAATCTTGCACCATCTCTTACCTATGACATTCATGCAATGGTCCATGTTTCCCACGCAGTTCATGAGTTGCAGATTCTCTGCTCCGCATTCATCATTTCCTGTATCTAGGCAGCTGTAACACACCAGTCCATTGAGTTCCCTCACAGAAAACTCTGAAAGGTAGGAGACAAAAGTCTTTTTCAGTAAGGGCCAAATTAGGTGTGACAATTACCTTGATTTTGATTGATTGGTCTGCAAATAGCAGCTGTTAGAAAAGCTGAGCAGCCTTCTGATTGTGGGAATGAGGAGTTTAACTCTTTCTCTTCCAGCCCCAACACAAACCTCATCTCCCCAAAGCTGCTATTTGCATTTTTTGAGGCCAGAATGATGTGGGACAAAATTTGGAATCAGAAATTCCTGGATTCCATTTCTGACACAATCATACAGAGACAGTGATAGTGGAGGAGCTTTGATGTAATGCAGGACTTTAAAAAAGATTGGACAAATTCATGGCTATTATTCAGGGATGACCATATACTATTTCCAGGATCAGAGATGCAGGTGGAAAAGAGAGCAAAAGCTATTGTGTTGGATTCTTGCCTGTGTGCTTAATTGTTAACCCACATTTGGGGGAACTGCTTTTCTGGCCCTTGTGGGATATAAATGTATTATTATTAAATATAATAACAAATATTGACCAGTCTTGTTCACAGATATTTACTGCCTAATAATGCTGCTTTTTGCGGGTGGGATATTTTTATATTGGGGGGGGGACATGTGAGCCAAAAGGACTTTAAAAATACATCTATGTAATCCAGAGATATTTTTTTAAAAACGGACTTCTGAGTTTTTTGCAATTTTCAAATTTTGGTTATAAAGTCCTCAGTGGGGATGAAATTTTAAACACAAAGCACCCAAAGTTTTATTTTAATTTTGGCATGCACATGTGAGTTGAAATTGGCTCGGGACTCCTTCTGCTCCAATTTGGGTCACCCCAAGAAACCTGCTGATCGAAAGGTCGGCGGTTCGAATCCCCGTGGCGGGGTGCGCTCCCGTTGCTCAGTCCCAGCGCCTGCCAACCTAGCAGTTCGAAAGCACCCCCGGGTGCAAGTAGATAAATAGGGACCACTTACTAGCGGGAAGGTAAACGGCGTTTCTGTGTGCGGCTCTGGCTCGCCAGATGCAGCTTGTCACGCTGGCCACGTGACCCGGAAGTGTCTCCGGACAGCGCTGGCCCCCGGCCTCTTGAGTGAGATGGGCGCACAACCCTAGAGTCTGGCAAGACTGGCCCGTACGGGCAGGGGTACCTTTACCTTTTAAGAAACCTGCAACCCACAGTTACCTGTGAAAGAGCTGTTGTTGCACCTGGAACCTTCACAGACACGAATGGCCACGTAGCTGATTTTGCCTCCTATGCCGTATGCCAAGAGTGTTTCCTCCTTGGGGTAATTCCCACAGCCTTTGATGATGGGCTCCACCAGACCTGTTCCTGTAGAAACAGAGGAGGGTGTCAAAGATCCTTGCCAATGGCTATTGGGGAATATATTTGAGCGAAGGGCTGGACTATTCTGTATGCCAAGCACACTACAGAGGAGCTCAATGGCATTCGGGCTGCGTTCGCAGCGAGTAGACAACCATGTAGGACTCCTTGATCTTCTCTTGCAGCACAAAGTGCACTTACATACAACCAGGCAGGGGATGCCTCCGCCTCTCAATGGCTCTGGCTCCACTTTCCATTGGCCTCCTCTCCCTCTGCTCCTCCAGTTCCAATGGGCATCAGGCACCACCAGCACACTGCCAGTTCTCACGGGACACTGGAGAGGCCAGGCCATTGCCACACATGAACTGAGAGTGCGCTCTAGAATCCAACCTGAGATCTTTTGCAATGCACACATGGCATCTGCCACAAAAACCAGCAGGGGTTCTTCAGCAGATAACCCCTGTTTCTATCAGGGCTGGCTAATCATTTTTGGGCAGGGCCACCAACATACCAAAGTGCAAAGTGAGTGTGGCTTTTCTTTTCTTTTACACTCTGGGGAGTCAGGGAATCACAAAATCCTTTCGGCATCCCAGAACCTCGGCCGAGGATCTACAGAAGTGCTTGGTAAAACGTGTACATGCACGCAACTTTTAAACTCTTTTTTTAAAGGACAAATTCTGGGGTTCCCCCCCAAAGCCTTTTGGCATCACAGTGGGGTATCGATGGGAGCAGTTTAGTAATTATTATTATTACAGTGGAACCTTGGTTCTCGAATGTAATCCGTTCCGGAAATCTGTTCGACTCCCAAAACATTCAAAAACCAAGGTGCGGCTTCTGATTGGTGCAGGTGCCCTGGAAACAATAGCCGACAGCTGTATCAGATGTTCGGCTTCCGAAAAACGTTTGAAAACCGGAACACTTACTTCCGGGTTTTCAGCATCTGGGAGCCGATTTGTTCGTCAACTAAGCCGTTTGAGAACCAAGGTTCCACTGTATTATTATTTTAAATGGATTTTTTCCCCAGCAGGGTTTGAGGAGGTACAAAATGCCTTTTGACATCAAAGCGGGGGAACCATAGAAGCAGTTATAGCTTTGGGGCAACTGTGCCAGGGGTGAGGGTGTGGGCCTGAATTTTGAAAGAAGTGACAAATTGGAAGGGCACAAAAATACCTCTCAGATAGATTACCTGGCAGCCACTGGCGAGAGATTTCCACGCAGCGGTTCTCTTTACCTCTGCACTGGGCTGTGGGAATGCTGGTCCCATTACACTCCTCCAAACTGCCAATGCAACTGTAACACTCCACTCCGTTGCGTTCGGTGCTGTATGTGACTGGGGAAAGGCAAGAAAAAAGAAGGGTCACCAATTCTGAGGCCCACAAGCACTACTTGTGGAAGGCTTCAGTAAATAGCACCTTAAAAATCCTCATTCTAAGAGGCCCTCTTGGTGGTTCCACCTCCCTCAGGAGTTTGGGTGGCAGCAGTAGTCCAGGAGGTGGTCAAGGAGCCCATGCCAATGTAGGCCCCAAATATCTAAAAGGCCACTTCCTTTTGCACAGACCCTCTTGGTGGTTCCACTTCCCTCAGAAATTTGCGGTGAGTGTGACCTGGCAGAGGGCATTCTCTGCAGCAGTCCCTGAGTTGTGGCATTCCCTTACCAGAGAGGTGCGTCTGGCACCTTCATTATACATATTTTGGTCATTTGCAGAGGACACACCTGTTTGCATTGGCCTTTGACACTTGACAGAGATATATATTTGCGACCCACCCTACTCCTGCGATTGTAATTTGTTTCAAACTGTTTTCAGTGTTGCTGTTTTAAATGGTTGTGACCCATTTGGGGACTCCTGATCAAGGATGGGTAATCAACCAAAATAACAACAATAAATATTTGACATCACTGACTGTCCCATACAGAGAGCAGGAGATAGGCCACAGTCACACTATAAATTTAAAGCACGATGATACCAGTTTAAGCAGTCAAGGCTCCCCCCACAGAATTCTGGGAGCTGTCATTTTCTTAAGGGTCTGAGAGTTGTTAGGAGACCGCTATTTCCCTCCCTGAGCTACAGTTCCCAGAGTTCCCTGTGAAGAGGGAATGATGGTAGCTCTGTGAGGGAAACAAGGGTCTCCTCTTGGCACTTTTAAATCACAGCTCCCAGAATTCTTTGGAGGAAACCATGACAGCATAGAGAAGTATCATAGTGCTTTAAATGTATGGTGTGAATGTGGCCATGGTTAGTGGCTCATGAAAGTAAGCAAGACAGCTCTTTTTTCCAGTGTGTCACACATGTCTCTGGGGAGTGCATAGGTCTGATCATTTCCACTTCAGGGTTGACCATACTCTGGGCACTCTTACCATTGTAGGGGACTTCATTGCAAAGGTCTTCGGAACAGCAGTAGATGCTTCGTGATATGAAGCCCCGGCGGGTGGAGAAGTAGGACTGGCAGTACTGGGATGTGGTGCACCCTCTCTTCAGGGTCTCACTTATGGGGCCTAGAGAAGGGAAGGCACAGCGAGATGATAGCTAAGGTGCATGATGAGGTTTACAAACAGCAAGTAACCCACTGATCACTAGGGAGGTGGGGAGGAATTTGCTTCAGTTCATGTTTAAATGTGAGCTTATGAAATCCACACTTTTTTAAAAAATGAGACAAAACACAGCCATCCTTCAGAATTTGCAGTTATCCGAATTTTGCCATGCAATCACCTAATGAAACAATATTTATAAAAAGGCATATATTAGGTAGGGTTGCCATACATCCATTTTCCTCCAGACATGTCCGGGATTGCAATGGCAGAATTACCATCTGGGGGGAATTTTCAAAAACAGGCAAAATGTCTGGGTTTTTTTGAAAACAGAACCAGGAAGTGTTGTTTTTGGGCGATTTCCCCCAAACAGCTTTTTGGGCGATTTCCCAAAAACAACAACAACAACAACAACAACAACAACAACAACAACAACAAACCCTTAACAACTTTTTGTGTCCAGATTTTTGCTTTTTGAATCACAGTCGTACCTCGGTTCCTGAATACCTTGGGAGTCGAACGTTCCGGCTCCCGAATGATTGAAAACCAAAAGTGACTGCTCTGGTCCTCAAATGTTCTTTTGGAAGCCTAACATCTGATGGGACTTCCAAGGCTTCCGATTGACTGCAGGAGCTTCCTGCAGCCAATCAGAAGCTGTGCTTTGGAAGTTGAACGTTTTGGAAGTTGGCCGGACTTCCAGAATGGATTCTGTTCGACTTCTGAGGTATGACTGTATGGCAACCCTATATTAGGGGTAAGTATGCATAGCAGTAAGTTGCAAAACAAGATGTGCCACCCCAGCAGGGAAACCAACAATAGGCGAAGCCAGAGCCAATGGCAGGCAGAACCAGCTGATTCTGGTTTTGAACCCATCTTCCTCCTCCTCCTCCCTGTTGAGTTCTGCAAAGAGAAAATTTCCAAAAGGTAGTGAACGAGGCCTCTAGGCTTCTCAGAACTGACCTCTGTTTTCCTGCCCGATGTTAACCTACAGCAGTGCCTTCTCCTACTTAGTCATATGCTTCCTTTAAACAAACACATAAACCTCTGAAGCAGCAAATTGAATGTTAAATGCCAGGCCAGAAAGCCCTTAAACAGGCAGCTAATGACCCTCCTTGCCTGGAGACAAAGCTAACCAGCCAAGGTCACACATAGTGTTTTTTTTTAATTGATAGAGATATGAGATAAGACTATTCCAAATCGGGCCTGCAGAAATTGTGACGCACCGGGCAAAACACAGCCCAAACACAGGCTTGACGGACCCGTTCATTAAAGCGAGTGGGGCACCTAGAGGGAACTTTTCCTGTTGGGACAGCGAAGGGCTACTACCTTTTCAGTGTGTCACTGTGCCTGTGCAGCGGCTGGATTTATTTTGTATATTATTGCATTTATGCCTTCTTCAAAGAGCTCTAGGTGGTGTACATGGCTCCTCCCCTTCTCCGCATTATCCTTACAACAGCCCTGTGTGAGGTACTTTAGTTAGGGTGAGATTTGGGGTGACTACTAGAACAAGGTCACCCGGTGAGCTTCACGGCTGAGTGGGGATTTGAACTCAGGTCTCGCAGGTCGTACTCCCACACTCTGACCACTACATTGCAGGCAGGTGGTGATGCACAACTCTCTGCAAAATTGTGGTGTTTTTTTTTAAGCATCACATTCTGCAGATCAGGGCTGTCTTAAGCATATGTGGCGCCGGGGTGCACGGCAGAGCTGGCCTGGCCAGCCGCCTCAGCAGCAACAGAGGAGCCCGAGGCGGCAGTGGCAGCGACTGAGTGAAGCTGGGCACCTTGTGTGTGCAGCGTGCGCTGGGCAGACCTCTTGATGGTCCACCAATCCCAGGCGTGCAGGAGGGTGGATCCAGCCGGCTACCTCAGCACCTCGCTTGCCCGCAGCAGAAGAGCTGCGGTGCTCCAACAAGCTCTGCTCCACTCGGCAGTAACTGTTGGCTCTTCCCAATCCCCGGACTCCAAATCTTGGCCCTGGACTCTCGGCCTGGCGCCCCAAGAGCCCAGTGCCTGGGTGCCCCGCACCCCTAGTGCCTATGGGTAAGACGGCCCTGCTGCAGATCAAGGGACATGCGCAGGCCAGGTCAGTTGGCAACCCCTTCCCTGGGCCACGTACCATAGGTAGCTCGTGTTTCCTCCATGCAAAGGGTCTCGTTGTTGCCACAGAGTTGCTGCTGGTTGGTGCAATTCTCACGTGTCCCCAGGCACTTGTGGCAAGACAGGCCACAAGCTTCAGGAAGCAAAGCTGAAATGACATTTTGCAAAGGAATCTTCCCTCAAGGTCATATATATAAGATGTCCCTGTGGAACTGGGCACCCCTTAAATCTGGGGATGGGCTGGAAAAATCCCTGATGGATGGGCACCCAACCTCTGTTGAAAGCCCTCCTTCAGATCAGCTCCCAGCCAAGAGGTTGCCTTTCTTTGGGATACTTTGCCTTCCCTTGTAGAAAAGCAAAAATGAATATAAAAACCCCACATGCCAGTGGTGGGTGAGGCCAGAGGCAAAAGAGGGTGAAGCAGTAAACGTAAAAAAAATAAAAATGCCTTTGTATAGAATGTGGATTTGCACACACACAAACATATTCCCACCCCGCTCCCTCCAGCCAAGCAAGAAGCGTGATCAGAGTTCAAGGACAGATTCCAACCAGAAAAAACAATTTCACAGAGGGTGTGAAGCAGGGACAGTGAGGGTGCGGCTGGGGAGGGAGGGAGGTTTGGAGAGTGTTGTGAGGGCCAGACCAAAAGTGCTTCAAGTGCCACATTTGGGACCCAGGCCTCAGTTTCCCCACCTCTGCCTTAAATGTACAGGGGCCTTCTCGAGGTCTGGACATGCCTACCTTACAACACTTTATTTTTTAAAAAAAGGAACAAGGATTTCCTCATATCTCTGTTTTATTGAGGGCAAGGATTGGGCTGTTTTAAAAATAATATTATTATTATTTTTAAAAACCCCTCACATTTGATTAACTTTTAAATTTTTATTTTAAAAAAGCATACGCTCCTCTTCATAGAAGAAGTTTCACAAAGGAGTTTGGAATGATACGCACCAGCAAATAAACCACAACTCAGTTTTAAAGCAAAAAGGGAAGGAAGCACTCCAAACAGCACCAAAATGCTATTAAAACTAGTACCTAGTAGTATGATGGGACCGCAGCAAAAAAAACAAGCAATACCTGTGGAATAGGCACTTCGAGCAACAATAAAAAGCAAGTAGTTCTTTAACAGCATGATCCTAGCTATGTCCACTCAGAATTAAATTGGATTTGCTGCCTGGCATGTGGGGCTCGTGTTACAACCTAAGGCCCGTTGAGAAAGTGTTGATGGACTTTGTGGAAACCAAGAACCCATGTATATTAAATAAGCACCAAGCTGACCAATAAGCCCATTTCAGCCCAGGGCAGTGGAGGAACGGAGGAGGAAGAGTTAACTATCTTTCACTTGAAGTTTTCCCACTGACTTGTGTGGGTAGGTTGGTGTTTCTGAGGTTGTACAGCGATGTGTTCACATGCTGGGCTCTGCAAGGCAGGGTGCAGGCTGAGATTCCTGAGTTGCCTCCCTGAAACCATTCGGCAAGAGAAGCGATTGGAGCAGGTAAAGCCAGGGATCCTGGATTTTAATTCCATGGTGGTACCACCCGAAAGTTTGGTGTGTGTGTGTGTGTGTTTGTGGCAGGGGGGTGACTCCGAGGCAAGGCACCTGTAGGGAGTCCTCCAGAGGGTTTCTTTCCACCTGGTCTGTTTTTGTGTGTTTGTATGTGTTCTGCAACACGTCGTTCATGCAACAATAACAGTTGCATGAATGGTGGATTTATCCTGGACTGTCCGCACATCATTCTGCTTTAGATGTCGTCCAGTATTATTGCATTATTTCTGTCTGGAGGGCTGCTCTTGCGATGTAGAGCAACAAAAGTGAGATGGAGAAACAAATCAGAGTGATTGCAGTGCAAATGTATCTTGGAAGCTGAATGGAATCCATTCCAGAAGTCAGTTTGACTTCTGAAAAGTTTGGAAACCAAGGTGCACTTTCTGATTGCTCAGGCACACCGGAAGCAATAGTGGAAGCCGCACCTGATGTCCAGCTTCCAAAACAATGTTCGAAAACTGGAACACTCACTTTGGGAGCCAGAACATTCGACTCCCAAGGCATTCGGGAGCCAAGGTACGACTGTATAAAGAGTTTCAGGATAACAGAAGGAAGTTCTGGAACATGTACTGGTTTGGAAGCCATGCTGCGTGTCTGCCCTGAAAACTCTGAAGGCACAACCTGTATTGAAAACTACATGGAAAACTACATTGTCGATACCTTCATGAACACAAATAATTTTGAACGCACAATGAATAGGATATCTGGAATAGGCAGGGGGTGAAAATTCAGAATTTTCACACACCTATTTTGAATGCTCTGTGTCAAAAGAGAGAATGCAAATGAAGATAGAGGGCAGTGACCCTTTGCTAATTTTGGCACCCCTCGGCAAATGCCTGACCTTACCAAGCTCTGGAGCTGGCCCTATTCCCCACCTGCTTTTGAGGGAAAGAACTGTGGGTCAGAACCAATTTGGGTCCACTTTCCACCTGGAGGAAAGGAGCAGTAGAATCGAATGTTGCGAACAGGGTCAATGACGGGTGTTGCTAAAAGCCAGGAATACACATTACTTTTTCCAGCTCGGAAAAGGAGCGGTAGATGATAATTAGAAGATGAGCCTGTGGCTGGTCGGATTCCAGCACATGATGTGGAACCGTGTGGTTAAAATTGGAGGGATGGAAGCCACGGGTTGCCGTATTTCTATTTGAGAATTAGGCGAAGGAGTAAGGAAGGCGCTGATACAAAGAAGGTCCCTTACTAAGGGTGGAACCATTAATATTGGAATGGAAGAGGGAATTTTGTGGGGGACAGCTTTTCTCCACTCTGTAGCGCTGTGAGAGGACAAGCTAATCCCCACCGAAATTCTGTCTTCAGTGCAATTGTTTTAGGTGCAGGAGCCCTTGTCCCTGTTGCTCTCAAGCTGCACATGTGCCATACTTTTAAAGCATACCCGCCCCAAAGAATCCTGGAAACTGTAGTTTGTTAAGGGTGCCAAGAAGAGGTAAGCTACAGTTCCCAGGATTCTTGGAAGGGTGGGGGGGGGAGAGAATGCTTCAAGTCCATAGTGTGTACGCAGCCTCGGTTACTCTACCTGAGGGAGCTGGGAGTCAGAACGACTGCCTTCTCTCTTGGGTGTAAGGGGAAGAAAGGTTATTTGCAGCAGCAGGGAGTTCCCCTGGTGGCAACCCACCTGTGGCCAACAAGGCAATCGGGATGGTGAGCTCTATGGCCGCCTTCATTGTCTTCCCCCCCTTTTTAATCACTTCTCCGGTCTGTCCTGTTCTCCGGCTTGGCTTGGCGAGGTGTACACTCCCAGCTCTCTGTCCTGATTGCCTCTGGTTGGGAAAGGCAGCTTGGTCCTAAAACCTGCTTGGCAGAGGAGAGGACAGGGTGATGCAACTCATCCATTCATCAACAAGATGCTGCCCTGGGAACCTTGGCCAGTTCCCTCTGGACCAGATGAAATCAGCACTCTCGGGGATGGGACGGAATGGACGAGCTGAAGGGTGAAAAGGGGGAAGAGCAGATCTCAAGATCGGCTGCAGGGCTCCTAGGGAAGTGGTTCGGAAGAGAGGGAAAGATGGAAGGTGCAGCCAGACCTCAGTGTTAGAGCATCTGCTTGGCATGGAGAAGGTCCCAGGTTTGATCCCCACCTGCCATCTCCAGGGAACAGCTGAAATCCTGGAGAGATGTTGAAAGCAGTGGAGGCTGGTCTACAGTGTCCCCTTAGCCAGCCCCTCATCTGCCTACATATCTACTTACAACCTGGCCAGAAGATGGCCCTGGCTGTCAGTTGCCTCCTCCTCCTCCTCTCCTCCTTCTTTAGTCTTCTTGTTGCCCTGGTAGGACTCAGCAGGGAGGAGGATGGCTCCAAAACTGGAGCCTGCCATTGGCTCTGGCTCCCCTTACTGTTTGGGCTCCCCATGGGCAACAGCCAACACAGGGTGCCACTCAGTGTAAACAGTGTAGACCAGGGTTTCTGAAACTTGGGTCTCCAGATGTTTTTGGACTGCAACCCCCATCATCCCTGACTACTGGTCCTGCTAGCTAGGGATGATGGGAGTTGTAGTCCAAAAACCGCTGGAGACCCAAGTTTCAGAAACCCTGGAATGCTGAACTAGATGGTCCAATAGCTAAGAGTATTCTGACTTTCCAGGTTGGCGGCAGTGCAAGGGGCTTCTAAGGCCAGTGTTTTAAAAAAGAAGGCTGGAATCATAGTTCGTGAGCATAGGAAATCTGTAGCCATTGCATAATGCAATGCACTCCAGTTGCAGAATGATTTGTTTTCCCGTCATACAGTTGCAGAATTTTGGCTTCCCGGTGGCATGGATTGCAGTAGCAAATAATAACAACAGAGCTCTTGGAAAACACCAGGCAGGTGGGTACAGCGATAGCAGCAAGCAGACTGAGTGGAAAATTTTGGTCACCGAAGGTTAGGGAGTGCAGCTTCAGTGTGGGAGCTGGCTGGTTTCCAGCTGAAGCTTGTTAAAATTTATGAGGCATAACTTCAGAAATATACTGTGAAACACCTAAGGTAATGTCTCGCTTCATCACCCACATGGCCTCCTCGTAAATGGAGTGTTTTTCACCCCCTGGATGGCATTGCCCAATTTTGCTCAGGCTTCCAGGGAGGTGTGTTGTGTCAGGAGGCATTTTTTTTTAAATGCTACAAACAGTTATATTTGCTTTAATAGTTAATAACATACAGTCCAGTGGCCCATCTAGTCTAGCATCCTGTTCCCACAGTGGCTGACCTATGGGCTTGTGAGTTCACAAGCAGGACTAGAATGCAACGACACTTTCCCTACTAGTGAATCCCAGCAACTTTTATTCAGGGGCATATTTTCATTTCCCATTGTTGTTGTGTGCTAGCCTCAGTAAACAGCCTCTTGTTCTGGGTCGACAAAGTGAGTAACCTTGCCATATCTATCTATATAATGAATTGTAAGGATGCCGTCACGCTGAGGACTGCATAGTTGCCGATTGCTGAATGAAGCAAGGACAGGGAGCAGCCCCTAGTATTAAATAAGAACTTAACAGGGAACTCTCCTTCCTTGG